ATATTTATTTATTTTTATAATCATCGTATATATAATTCATTATGATTTTTTTTTAATTTCAAAACAATATTGAAAATTTATTATTAAAAAATAAATAATAATAATCACTGGTATGTTGAAAATTTTCATAACAGTTATGATTCATCGATTATAATAATTATTATTGATTTTTATGTATTATTCGATTACATATGATATCACACTCATGCAAAAAGTCTTGTTATAGAGATTTCTATGATAAGCATACATATAAAAATCTATGTCATCATTTTTATGATATATATATATTTCATCTGTTACACACCTAATTGTAAATTTTCAAAAAAAAAAAAAAAAATTTTTTTGGGAATAAATGGAGTTAGGTGTTTCTAATCTTTCCTGGAACATAATTTTTATCTATTACAGGTTCCAGTAAAAACATGTGAAGGCATCTTTCATTTTGAGCCAATGGATGGCCAGCTATTTTATTTACAAATATTTCTAATCCTTTCCTTCTTTCTTCTATGAAATCTTCTTCGTAAATACCATCATCACCTCTGAACGGCATTAATCTTTTCCATGCTTTTCCAGGTAATGGTGGAACAACAATTTTGCTGTCTCTTTCTAATTCTGTTCTCAACCATTCAAAGTCGCTGTACCTTCTTCTGACTGTCGATTCTTTTATTTTAAAAACAGGAAGATTGGTCTGAAACGATTGAGAAATTGAATATTTGTAAAATAATGAAACTTGAGCCCTGATTGTGTAATTTCAAGCAAATTAGAAAAGAAAAAAATAATATATTTTGAAATTGTTGATGAAAAATCATTTTAATGAACAATTTAATTGTAAAGTTTGAATAGTAGTATGCTTGGTAAAAAAAAAAAAATTGTGAAGCAAAGATTCTATTTAATAAATGAAAGTACTGTACTTGTTAGAAGTATGCGTGACATAACAAGACAAAATTTGTAGTTATTCAAAATGAAATATTTAATTTAATGAAATACAATTTTTTTATAAATATAATTTAATGTTAAATAATTTAAATTTGAGGAAAGATATTACTCTAACAAATTATTAACTCACTCTCATTTTAACTTCATAATCCGTGTATCGTTTTTTTCCGACACCATGAGTAATAGGAAGTGCTACATCAATTTCCAAAAAATTAGCCGGAGCCGCATAAGCATCATCCAATGTTTGTTTTTTAGCGTTCAGACGTCGGGTAGCGTCTGATGTATCAGCCATTTTAATTAATAATTAAATGTTTACTACATAAATCAAAAACTTTCTCAATTGAACTATTAATCAAGATGTGACATTACTAATAAATGTTGCCAAACTGATTTAACATGGCCGATCATCGGTTTATGAGTCAGTTGTAAACTGATATAATTATAAATTTTATACTTTTTTTTTTTTTTTTTATTAAATTACGCTTTGAATAATTTTATTTAAAATATTAACCGATTATAAAAAAAAAAAAAAATTTTTTAAATTGTGTTTTTTTAACCGGTAATTTTTTTTATTTGCTTTTAAATTAATTTTTAAGAGCAAGAGTACGCGAATTTTGTCGTAAAAAAAAAGGGGGAAGGATGGTGGAATTATCGTTTATTATTATTATCTAGTAAACAAATGATTAAAGAAAAAAATTAATTTGAATCTGATGGATTTTCTTTCATTATTTATTATTGCTTGTTTGATAAACTCCGTTTTATACTTTTTTGATTTAGTTTTTAAGGTTAGTTAAAATTATATAATGTAAATTTAAATAATTTTTTTTTTTTTTTTTTTTTTTATCAGAATTATTTATTGTCGGTGTTAGCAACTCACAATTTCAAAATAATTTCAAATAAGTAGTGAATTGAATAATAATTTTTTTTTTTTTTAATATAAATTTTTTAATTAAATTAAATGTAAACTTTTTTTTTTTTTTATAAATGTAGTATTTATGATTTTTAATATATTTTTTATATTTGTTTTAGTCTTGCTCGCATTATCCGTATCTACAATTTCTACAAAAATCGGGATTAAATATAGGATTTTTTAATATTACGTGGTTTACTGCTGCTTTGAATTCTGCTTTATTCAAATTCAGTTCTTTTCATTCAAAATTTTTACCAAAATGGTTTAATCTTGGTGTATTTGCAACAGTATTTCTTATGCCAGTATCTGTTATTTTGTTAATCGTAAACATTACAAATATTTTAAAAGAAGGCAAATCGAAAAATGATGAATATTCCATGTTATTAGAACCGATGGTTAGTATTTTATTACAGGAAATCATTTGTTAAAAATATTTTTACATTTTAAAAAAACTTATTTCAACAAATAATAAAATCAAAATTATAAAATTTTTTAGATTCCAGGAATAAACTTGCCAGTTGGAGATTTTGGATATTACTGTGTCACCATTGCACTTTGTAGCATCATTCATGAAATAGGTCATGCCATTGCTGCTTATAAAGAAGGCATTCATGTTTTTGGTATAGGTATAATTATAATATTTGTTATACCCATTGCTATAGTTAAACTTAATTCTGAAGAAGTGTCTCATCTTCATCCGATAAAGCAACTTAGAATATATTGTGCCGGAATATGGCATAATATAATACTCTCTTTGATTTCATATATTATATTAATCAGCCTACCATTCTTACTCAGTCCTTTTTATGATTTGGGAAAGGGAGTTTATGTTTTGCATGTTAATGAAGTGAGTGAGTTTTTTAAATTTTGACATTAGAAAAACTGCAATAAATTTAAAAGTATTATATTTTATTACAGAATTCAAAAGTTGCTGGAAAAAGTGGTATTTATCCTGGAGATAAATTAACAGCAATTAATGATTGCGAAGTTTCTGATATAGAAACATGGCAGAAATGTCTTATGTCTTTTACGAACAAACCTTCTCCTGGCTACTGCATTTCAGAAGATATAATTCGTCAATTAGATGAATCAGTTCCTAGTTAGTTAAACATTATTATATTTTACAATTTTAATATATTCCTTTAAAAGCTGCACTATCATATTAAAAAAAAATGTTATTTTAGTGAAAGTTTCAGAAGAAGGAACCGTTCAATGCTGTGAAAACAGTAGCAATGCCCATTTGTGTTTTGAAACTCTCGAAGATGGTGCTCCACTTCAAGTTCTTCAATATTCTTGTCTTCCTGGAAGGCGTATCATCGCAGGAACTGCATTTATGTGCCGAAATCCAAAAGATTGTCCATCAGGACTCCATTGTGTTCGACCTGTTACTCCCGAAGGAACGACTTTATTAAGAATTCATAGATCTAAAGGAAGCATCGTAATTTATATAGGTATTCCAAAACACGTTCTTTTAACTGTAAGAGTTTCTGATTATTCTCAACAGTACAGAATGTTTCCTTCTAAGTTACCAGAAATTTTAATTCGCCTTGCCAAATACTTAGTAATATTTTCCTCGGGTTTAGCCGTTATTAATTCTATACCTTGTTTTTATTTTGATGGGTATCACATTTCCTGTACTCTTATCAATTCTTTAAATAAAGGTTCATTTCATTTTAAAAATTCATTAACATTCGGCTGTAATTTGTTAGGAATGCTATTATTAGGATTTAGCATCGTATGTGCTTTATGGAAATTAGCACAGTCAATTTTTAGAGTTTTGTATTAAAAAAAAAAAAAAAATGACTGTACTTTTTAACCTGAAATTTATGTTTGCTAAACAACAAATACTTTAAAACCATTGTTGAAATATTTATAAAAAGATTTTTCATAATATCGCTTACTAATTTAAAAAAATAATAAATTATTTTATTATGTGACTTAAAAAATGTTAACTCGTTTAAAATTTACATTGCCAAAATATATATATATATATATTTAAATTCACTTAGGAATTTTTAACAGTTGCATTTTTAAAAAATTTTTACCAAAAAATACTTTTTTAATGTTAAATAATAAATCTAAGAAAATATTTTTATACAATAATGAGATATTGAAATTTGTTTTTAGTTAGGTAAACAATTATTATAATTTTTCTCTTTTAGGAAAAGTTTATAAATTTGTTTTTTATATTTTTTTTTTGAAATATCGATTATTTTTTTACTCTTCAAAAGTATAAAAAAAATTAAATTTTTTTATATCGTTAAAAAAAAAAAATTATTACACGTTTCACTACTTACTAAAGTATTATTCGCTAATGTAATTAGTTATAATAAAAATGTAATAATAACAAAATAAATATTTTTATTATAATTTTTCAACAATAATTTACAAAATAACCTATAAAAAAAAAAAAAAAAATTACAGCATATTTAAATTATAAAAAATCATTTGGCCATGGCAATATTACTTTTAAGTTCCCTTAATGCTAATCGTCCATTTTGAATATGTAATTTTATAGCATACTCATCTTTTTCATTTTTTTTATTTTTAAAATCACTTCTGATCCAATCTTGAACTTCTTTCCTATTGCTTTCTTCAGAAATCTGTTTAGTGGCACGAAAAAATTCTCTGTATAGTTGAAGAACTCTTTGTCTAAGTAAAAACTGCAAAAATAATTATACACATTTTTTTTTTTTTAAATAATTTTATTTTTCTAAAAATATGTTAAAGTTATAAAAACGGTAATTCCCAATTAAATTTTATTTTTAAAAAAATCACTAAATTGATAAATTCTTATCAGTGAACTTTAATTTTTACAGTTAAATAATTTGTTTGCAATTTCATTAACCATAATTAGAATTAATTTTTTAAAATATAAAAATTACTTATTTTATTAAAATTAAAACGTACCTGCTTTAAAGTAAGAGCTTCGGTAGGAACAAGCATACTTTTTATTGAAATTTTTACTTAATCTGAATTATAAACATTGCAGGGAAAATTGTCGCCATTTTAAAAGAAAAAATTGTGCCAAAATTAATGCAGTGAAAAAAATTTTTCTTTTCGGTTAGCGTTGAAATTTTTTTTTTTTTTTTTTTAGCATTTTTAAAAAGCCGGGAATTGGTTTATAGTGAAACTTAAAAGTTTAATTTAATACGATAATTTAAGTTTTAAATTAAGTTTCATTAAGAAGGTGAAAATTATTAAGTGAAAAAATAATCATCACAGTTCGTGTGCCACACAACCATATAAAATCTCAAAGTTGAAAATGACACATAATTTTGGTTAAAGCATATCTCCAAATCTATTTTATATAATTAAACCAAATATGTGTCTTTTAGAAAAAAAAATGTGATAATTTTATACTTCCTCCTGGGAAATTTTATCTGATTTTGAATAACCGACGGATGGTTTTGATTTTTTTCTATTTTGTACTTCTACACAAACTTTAATATGTCTGTCAAAGGAAGGAGTATTAAATGTTCTCAAACAGAGTGGACACTGAAGGAAATCTTCACACTCCAATTTAGGAATCATTGGTGAGTTATTTGTTTTCGATTCAATTGGTTTTTTATCATTTCTAACTCTTTTTAAAAATTCAACATCTTTCGCCCTCCAATTTGTTGAAAGTTGTGTGGGTCCCTTTGTCTAAAAATATTTTGTATAGTCAGCAAAAATATTTTATAAAAAAAAAAATGAATGTAAATATTATTATTATTATTATTGTTACCAATTTGCAATAACATATGCAGTTTTTTTTTTTTTTTACCTATTAAATTTAATGTAACTTTACACGCCAGCATTTAGTAATTTTAGATTTTAATTCAGTTTTTTAAAGATAATTGAAATATGGTAAAGGAAATAACGTTTAAAGGTCTTTTGTATTATTAAATAACGATTTTTAACATATTTTTGTCATATTGAAATTATACTTTAGATTGTTTTACAAATGCAATCTGATTAACGTCGTTTTGAAAAATAATCATTGACTATTTTTTAAATAAATAAGCTTTAAAATAAAAAATTTTACTAACTTTTGCGGTGTCATTAAGTCTCGATTTGAAAATTTCTCTTTTTGTCATATTTTCAACTTCAGTCCCGCTTATTCTTTGCAATGTTGAATCAAATAAACTTCTTTGAATTTCTGCTGAAGTTTTACAAATATTTTCATGGTATATTATTCTTTCTGGTGTGAATTGTCTCAAACAAATAGGACATTGTTTTAAATTTTGAAAAAACATTTTTGTGTTTGAAGGGAATTCCATTTTTTGAAAAAACATTTTTTCATTTTTATATTTCCTGCCAATATTAATTTAAAGGTTATTGTAGAAATTTTTTTTTTTTTTTAAAAGATGTTTTTCAAGGGTTTAAAAAGTATAATTTCAACACAATCATATTTGGTAAAATATACAAACCCCTGTAGTTTGATTAGAAAAAATTATTTTTTTAGTAAATTTTTAACGGAAAATTTTTCTTAATTTTTTATTTTTTTTTATTTACATTTTAACAGAACCATAACGTAGCAGAAATAATATTTTTTTTTTTAAATTGATAATTATTTTAATGCTTAATAGGAGAAGATAGGAAAATAATGTTTATTGATAATTAGAACAAAAAATAATTGCTAAAAAAAACGTTTTTTTAATAAAAATTATTTAATAATTTTCTTTTTCATTTAAATTTTGCAAATAAAAAAAAAATTTAATTGAAAAATACAATTTGAAAAGTAATTGAAAGTTTTTACACGTCTATGACTTGACTTTTTTTTTTTTTTAAACTTTTATTATATTTTTATATACCGGGTATATTAGTAATTTGTTTTGTGAAAATAATGATAATAATTTTACAATGTAAAATGAGATTTTATTATCCAATTAAAAATTTAATTGATAACCAATGTCATATTATTAAAAAGTTTTCTAAATACGATGAATAATGTCGATAAGAAATTTTACTGTCTCTCTCATATACGTTAAATTAATTTTTAGTGAGTTGGTAGTATTGTATTTGCAAAATGGCGTCAGAAGATAGATAAAAGTTATGATAAGTTGTGAGTAATAATTTTTATATATATATATATATATTAACTTTATGGCTCGTATTACTTTTTTACATCCCGATTTGGGAATCGGAGGGGCTGAAAGATTAGTTGTTGATGCTGCCCTAGGGTTAAAAAAAAAAGGAAATTTAGTAAATATTGTAACAACACATCATGATAAAAATCGTGCCTTTGAAGAAACAATTAATGGTGAAATTTCTGTTATTGTTGTGGGAGACTGGATACCCAGAAGTTTTTTTAATAGATTCTATGCTTTATTAGCCTATATCAGAATGATTTATGCTGCTTTTTATATAATATTCTTTAGCAATATCAATCCTGATGTTGTTTTCTGTGATCTTGTGTCTGTGGCAGTACCTATATTAAAACTTAAAATAAAAAAAGTTATCTTTTATTGTCATTTTCCTGATCAGTTGTTAAGTAGACCGGAAGGATTACTCAAAGCTCTGTATCGAGTACCTATTAATTGGGTTGAAGAAATTAGTACGGGAACAGCAAATCATGTATTTGTTAACAGTGAATTTACGGCTGGTGTTTTTAAAAAAACATTTAAAAAAATTAACATTCACCCTGACATATTGTATCCATCGTTAAATATGTCTTTTTTCGATTCATTTAAGGATAGCGATTTAAAATTAAATTATCCAGAAAAAAAATTTTATTTTTTATCAATTAATCGTTATGAAAGGAAAAAAAATTTAAATTTAGCTATAAGATCATTATCCGAACTGAAAAATATTGTAGATAAAAATTTATGGAACAAAGTACATTTAATTATGGCGGGAGGTTATGACAGTAGAGTTATTGAAAATGTAGAACATTACAAAGAATTAACTCAATTAACCCATGATTTAAATTTAAGTGACAAAGTTACATTTTTAAAATCGTTTACCGATATGGAAAAAATATCACTTTTGAATATGTGCACTTGTTTAATTTACACTCCTTCGAATGAACATTTCGGTATTGTTCCAATTGAGGCAATGTACATGAGAAAACCTGTCATAGCTGTAAATAGTGGTGGTCCTACAGAAACAATTATTAATGATGTCACAGGATATTTGTGTGATCCTCTGCCAGAATCTTTTGCTATTGCTATGAGTAAATTTTTATTAAATGAAAATTTATCAATGAAATTGGGTAATGCAGGAAAGGAAAGAGTTTTATCAACTTTTTCATTTGATAAATTTTCACTTAAATTAAATAATGTTGTTAATGAATTATTAGGGAAAAAAGAGAATTGATATTTGAAACCAATAAACAATTACTTTAGGTTTTAAAAAGGTTTTTTTTTTTTTTTTTTTTTTTAATAAGTTAATTATATATTTTATTTTGTACACATAATTAAAAATATATATATATATACTGTTAAGCATTTCAAATTAATTATATTTAACAATGTCAGGTCATTTTTACATATATATATATATAATAAAATTAAAAATTTTTTTAAAAAAATGTTTAATATTTTTATTTTTTTACAATATAATGAAATATAATTAAGAGTATAAAAGAACCAATTCAATAAATTATATATATTATTAATTTTATATTAAATATTTTTATTGTAGATAAACTGAGTGTTTAAAACTAACTCGTTAATTAATATTATTATTATTATTATTATTATTATTATTATTATTATTATTGATTTTGTATGGGTTTAAAATACATGTTTATATTTATATATGTAGTATAAAGAAATTTTTACTCATTATATAATCTGCAAGAAATTATATTTTTTTGTAATGTAAAAAAAAAAAAGAAAAAATATTTTTAATAATTTTTATTCGAATCTAATAATTATTGATCTACTTAAAAATCTTATAGAAAAAAAAAATTTTTTTTTTTTTTTTTTACGGTATTTTTAATTATTATTATCACGGTGAAATTGTATTTTATTATTATTATTACTGTTATTTAAAAATTACTTTAAAAATATTTTTACAAAAAAAAAAAAAAAAAAAAATTAGTTTATATAGTTATTATTATATATAACTGTGTTTAAAAAAAAAAAACTTGATATTGAATTATCATTACTATTATCAAAGTAGTTATCATCATCATCATCATCATCAACGTATAGTTCAAGGCGTAAATATTTATAATATGAAGTTCTAATTTTATTGTAAATGGCATAACACTTTTTTTTAATAGTCGAATTACCGTTATGAAAAAGAAGGAAAAAAGTAGTGGTTACCATGTTTTTTTTTTATATAGTTATTAAGGTGTTTAAAGGTTTTATTTAATATTTAAAGTTTAAATTTTTTTTGTTTTTTTTTTTTTTTTTTCGTCATGTTAATTATTTATTAAAGGGGAATTTTTCCGAAAAACTTTAGCAGAATGATTTTCATAATGGTGTGAATAATAAGTTATTGAGCTTTGGACGTATAATTTTTTTTTTTGTTGGTCGATGACAAAGACAATTGTCAAAACAAGTTTTAAAAAGCAAAAAAAAAATGAAATCATTGAACATCATCATCATCGTCAACTTTATCGTTTTTAAGTATAACTTCTTGCCTTGAAAAACCAGAAGACCACATTTCTCTTTCTGCTATTTGTTTTTGTTCAGCGTTCATTTTATAGGTTGCCATAAATTGTTCGTCGACAACAGATCCAGCCGAAAGCATTGAATTTAATGTCGAAGAACTAGTATCGTGAGTTCTTTTTAAATGACGGTATTTGACACGAACTTGAGGAGGGATTTTATGTACGTCTGATCTTGGTAGGGGTATCAATTGTCCCTTTTCTGTTCTTTTTCCCTGCGTTATTTTTTCTATATTAGAATAAACTTCATCGTGGCAAACTTTTAGGTAATTCCTTTGTTTCGCATTCATTCTTTGTCTGACAATTCTTTTTTCAGCTTCCGGTAAAGCAAAATTATGTACTAAATCAGCAATTATTTCTTCTTCAATTAAATCGTCACATCTGGTAAATATGGGAACCATGGTAGTTGCCATTGCCGCTTGATCAATTTTCTTTGCTAGATCTGTAACGTATTCTCTGGCGTTCCTTTGTGACACCCAACTTTGCGATTCGTCAAAAACTTCTTCGAGGAACGATCGAACCGAATTTTGATGGAGTTTAATAATTTGTTTAAACATTTCCTCGTGTTCTCTTTTACGTTGTTCTTCCAATTGACGTCTTCCAGCTTCCATAGCTTCTCTCTTGTGTCTCTCTTGATCCGCAAGCAGGGCTAGAGCATGGGTTTGCCTTTCGTTTTGCAATCGTAATAATTCTTTGGATAAAAAGTCTAACATTTCTCCGGTTGTTTTTCCTTCCAGAGCGGCTAAAATTTCGTTCTTTTTCTTTTCCTGCATCAATTCGATTTCGGCTTGTCTTTGCAATCCGTATATTTTCCTTCTCAATTGTCCCTTTTCATCTTCCTTGTGACTCTGCAAAGCATGAGTACTTTTAAGCTCTTCAATTAATTCTTGACATTTTACACGTCCTTCGAACATGACTGCTTGAATGGCTCTTCCTTTGATGGTTTTTTGTAGAAACAAACAAGCTTGAAACATGTCTTCTTCGTCATCTGAAACGCCCGTAACAGATGGTATTTCGGAATCGGTCACCATAACAGGTATTTTCTTTTTGAGATAACAAGGTTTAGGCGTGTTGTATCGTTTCCATCGTATACTTTTCAATTCGTCGTACAAAGTTTCCAAATTTTGTTCCGTCCATTTAGTCAATCGTATACAAAGATCTTTGACGTTTTTATCCTTAGGTTTCGATTTATTTTTAAAATCGAATGCGGGCAACAGAGAAAAGGGAACATCCGCGAGAGTTTGATGCATGACTTCGAGCTTATTAAAAACAGAATAAAATTGAAAATTAAATGGTATTTTTTCGTGCCAATTTCTAGGATCTTCTCCGAACCTTAATTGCGGAGCATATAATTCCGATGTTTTACTCGTGAATTGTGTAATTATATCCGATCTGTGATACTTGAAGTTAATTTTGTTCTTGTTTGAAATGAGTTTACGCATTTGCCTGTTAAAAGCCAACCTTAATTTAAAAATTTTCTTATTCTTATCACTTTTTTTTATATCTATATAATTATTTATTCTTAATTCGTATTTCTCTTTATTTTTTTTACATTTTTCCTTCATAACTTTTTTTGCCAATTCCATTCTTATCGAATTCATGGCGGTCATGACTTCTTCGCGATATTTCCATTCGTTAATTTCAATTGCTTCTATGATCATTCTTCTTAATTCCATGCTCGTTTGATCCAAAGGTATCGGCAAAGCAGCTTCCCATGCTCTTTTTTGCCGTGCTCTTTCAATGGTCATTATTTCATTCATGCCAGCGGGCAATCCATTGTTCCACGACAACCAACCTAACGTTAATATTTCAAGTCCCTTATCTACGTTATCTGGTATATCAACTACATACGGTTCCGTTTGCGCTTCCGATTCTCTAAACATTGTTTGTATTAATTTCGTTCTCGTCGTTCCGGGTGGCGTTTCAGGTTTGGGACAACCTTGGAGTATATTAAAAAAATTTGGTGGTATTTTAGGACGGTAACCCATATTCGGTGGTATGTTTTTCCCACATAAAACGGTTGTGTAAATTGGATACGGTTGTTGGCTCGTTCGACACCTCATGATGGTTATTTTTCGATATTGATGTAACTAATAGAAAAAAAAAAATCGATGTATTTATTAGATATGGATGTCGGTCACTAAAATTAGTTTTTCTTGTTAAATTAGTAAAACTTTTAATTTAGCACCTGTTTTGAAATATAAATTAGTCAATGATTTATTTTAAAATTGACACGGTAGAAAAAACAATTATTATTATTAATTAAAAATTAATATAAATTACCTGTTGAAAAAAAAAGAAAAAAAAATAAAAATTAAAAAAAAAATAATAATAACTAATGAACCAAAACAAATAAACTAACTGTTTAAATAATAAAAAAAAAAAACTCCACGTTTACAAAAAAAAATAATAATAAAAAAGGCTTTAAACTTTTCGATAATAATAATAATAATAAGTTAGGTTTTTTATTATTTAAAAAAAAAATTTCTTTAAAACCTTTTAGGAATTTTTTTTTTTTTTTTTTTAATATAAAAAATCATAAAAATTAATTTTTTAGTATTTATAAAAAATAATAATAATTTTTCTATCGAATCTCGGAGGCTTTGAATTTTTTTTATTTTTTTTTTTTGGGTCTCGATGAAATAAGTTCGAAATTTTTTAGTTTTTTTTTCTCCCCTCTTTCCGCTTTTAAAGAAATAAATAATTATTAAAAAAAAAAAAAAAAAAAATTAAATAATCGTCGTTAAAAAAAAAAAAAAATTCGTAATATCAGGTTCGTAAATATCAATAATAATAATAATAATAATAATAATAATATTTGTGTAACGTAATTATTTTTTATTTTTATTTAAATTGTTTATTTCCGTTTGATTTTTCTTCTTCTTCTTCTTCTTCTTCTGACACGACGTAAACATTAAAAATTTCGTTTTGTATTTCATTTTATTTTTCTTTTTAAGCATTTTTATTTTTTTATTGTTTTTTCAAAATGTTGTCTTTGTCAAATTTTTTTAACGTTTTCCCTAAAATGTTGTTTACATTTTTTGGTTATCTCTTACGATTTGGATAGTTGAAACAAAAATTTTGTAAAAAAAAACAAAAATTTTGTTGTTGTAGTTGTTGTCGGTTTTATTATTATTAATATTTACGGACTGTTTAATTTTTTATATTTTGTTTCCTGTTTTCTCGTTCTCATTCATCCATCATCCTCCATTCGTTCGTACATCCTCAATTCATTGTTAATATTTTTTTCTAAAAACCATCCAAACATTTTGCAATGGCAGCAGGACCAAAATCGATAATCATTGACCAAAAAAAAAAAAAAATTAGGTTAATAATTTTCGACCGACTTTCATTGATTTATTTGTGTCCGTTAAGAAATTTTATTATTTACAATAATAATAATAATAATAATAATAATAATAATTGTTAAATGATTAAATAATGGAGTCGAATGATAATTTGAAAATAATTTTTTTTTTTGGCGTTGTCTAGATTTGAAATATATATATTTTCTATGTTATTAAAATGATTGATTGATTGATTGTGGTGACCATGGATTTATTTTTCTACCTGTTTTCTTTGTTTTTAAACTTCTTTTCCCCCCCCCTCTCTCTCTCTCTCTCTCTCTTATTAACATACACACCCCCTCATTTTTTCATCATTGACATTTTACTTGTAATAATAATAATTATTATTTGCTTGTTGATGGGTGGGTGGATGGATGGGGGGGGTCTTTCTTTTATTTATATACACCTTGAAGTTTACACAATTATTATTTTCCAGGATTCTGTATCTAGTTTTCTCGATAGAATTTTGGGTAATTATAGTGAAACTCTTGATGAACCACCTCCGAATGAAGACAATACCGAAATAGAACGAATATTAAGATCAGCAGCATTATTTACT